TGGATGAATTACAAGCATGTTTTAATTCTTTACCTGATTACGCAATAGAAAAACATGCTTTTTTCCTAGGTTTCTTCTTTTGTTTGTTTGGGTGTGGCCTAGACTTTAATGCGGTATGCTCTTAGAATAAAATAAACTTTCTACTCATTAAAATGTAATCAATCTAAAAATTGATTTAGGCTCTATGATTTTCTAACAAAAAAACTTGCATGGCTCCCTTTTAAGGAGCCAAGTTTTCCAAATTTAAAATAATCATGCATAGCCCCCAAAGATGTCTCATATAGAAAGTCTTCACTTAAGAACTACATAATAAAAATCTATCTTCTTTATGAGTCAGGATATGCATACCTTCATACATAGGCATCTAGGCCTCAAAGTTAAGTTGTAAGCCCTACTTCTTAAACAAAAACAGTCTTCCCACTCTTCATATGCTTTAAGACCAGAGTACATGGTTTTAAAAGCGATTAGGAGGGTTTAGCTGGTAGTTCTTTCCAGGCAAGACAATAAATCTAAAGGTCGGGCAGGCTATACCTCATGTGAGGTATAGCTCATAAGTCTCTTTTGCATTCCGTTAGACTTAGGTTCGAGCACTACCTCTCAGTAGTCCTCACCTTAGTTTTAGGATCCGAGACGATGGTTGATTCCAATCACCATATAAGCCCTCACCTTTCGGGCAGTTCCTCCAACATGTGTTGTTGGAACGTAAGCCTCAAACTTCTAATAAAAATATCAACTTAAACAAAAATTAGATTTCTAAAAAAGTAAAGCTCAATATAGGATAGTCAAAGCACCTCTGAGATTTCTCAAAATCAAGTGCTCCTACTTCACCTCCCTGGCTCTCATTTCAAAATCTAATTCTAAGTTGATCCATTTTTTCCTTTAATTTCCTAAAGGCTAAAACCCTTTAAACAAGACTTTCATAGACTCTTAAAAGAAAATCAAATTTAGCTAATGTCTAAAATGACTTTCAAAAGACAAGAAAATCACTAGTTTAATCAAAAAAATTTTAAGCACCAAAGCTTGAAATGTAATTAACCATAGGGGCTTGTCCCTATGGGATGTTTATACCCCAGAAATAAATAAACCCCATTCAACCAAACATTGAATGGGAGAATCTCTGTTTCAAATTGTAAATTTTATTATTGAGTCCATAAGGAAATGATATTTTTACCCTTCGGGATAATATATCATAATTCTTATGCTGTACTAAATCATAAAGTATGCAATTCGTTTGAGGATAACAAAAATTCTCCAATATACTTTATGATCTGAGTTCTGGTTTCCTATAGGCGCAATCCCCTATAGTTAATTACCCCTCCCGATAACGAGAGAGAACTTTCGATTAAGGCTAATCATCAATCAGATACATTGTATTCATACATACGTAGTAGCAAGCGTATAGTAACAGCATGGGCTTGGGATGTTGGAAAATTTGATATTTAAAATTAAAATTTTCACCATCTTGCACTTAAAGCGGATGATGGGGGAATGGATGATGGGCTCGATCAAGATCCCATAGTTCCATCGTCCCGAGCCATCGTGGTCCCTGGTCTACTTAGTCAAAGGAAGTTGTCGACCCAACCTGACAGAAGGATCCTTGTCAGAAGTCATGGGTTGCTTCGTCCAAGGGTACCTTGTTGACCTGGGTTAAATGTTTATCTAAGGAGACAAATTTGAATCCACCTTAGCTAACAGAAGACTTTATACCCTATCGATCATATCCTATTAATTCATATCTCAAGGATTTAATGTCACTAATGAACGTATTGGCTCTGGGTATAACCGGTATCTCGTGGTGCCATTTAGTGGCAAAACCACTCGGTTCAGAGGGCCTCGGGTCATAACCGTTTATCCTGTGGTGTCATTTGGCAGCAAAACCGCCGGTTAGAGGACACGTACCACGTCCTTATTGGTAGGAGATTGTTTGAGAATGATTCATACTGATATTTTCGACTAGGCATTAGCTCTTTGTGAGCCACAGTACATTTCAATTTGTCCACCTCGACAAACTATTGAGGAGGGTGACTGGATTTGAACAGGTATTTTGTATAATTTTTTTTTGTTTTTCTTCTGGATACAACAGAGGTCAACATATTGTTAGCCATTAATTGGCTTTCTCCTCTTTCTCTTTGTTCACTTCTCATTTTTTTACTTTCAGTGCATATCCAAAACAAGAAGCAACTTTTCCATGTTAATATATCATCTTTGTTTGTATCATGTACCTTGGTTCGTTGCTCAGATACAAACTTGATAGCAAACAACAAGATGGGAGTTTTTTACGTCGATTTTTCCATACTACCAAGGGCCCAAGCCTTTGTGGGTTATTGAAACTATAGAAAAATGAAGATTAAAAATGAGAGAAATTGTTATGTGATTTAAAATTGATTTTAAAAAAATTTTCAATCCTTTAAATTGGCAATTACAGTAGAGTTTACTCTAATAAACTTCCTAAACAAACTCAATATAGTAAAGAATCTTATTTACAATAACAAACAATAATTCCAACAGGAATTAATTAATCCTGGAGTAAAAATTTAAAAAGCAAGCTTGTGCAAACAATTTTAAAAATTCAAACTCATCCTTATCAACTATGATCAAAATTTCAATAAAATGTACTGAGTTTTGGGGCCTTCATCTCCTTCCATGGTGTATGATTATTAATTTGATCGTGCTCTATGACCTTAGAGAGATATCCTCTTCCATGACAATAGTGTGGTTTGAGAATGACCACTGTTGGCTCTTTTAATTGAGAAATCAACAAGTATGATCTCTTTAATCTTTCCATGATCTGGTGCACAAATGGGGATCAAAAGCAATTTTATTTATAACTTATTAGATCTAATTCCTAAATGACTCTAACAAGAAGTTGTCTTATATTTTCATCTTTAACCACTTAAGTATGAGCAATCATAGAAGAAACTTCATTCAACGCATAGCAAGTTGATTGCTTACCAATAAGAGAACACTCTTTGCAACATCATTCTAGAGTTAAAAAATGCTTAGATGATTTGAACAAGGTAAATATTTAAATGAACTCTATGAGAGTGATTATTCTTAGATTTGAGTGAGTTATAGGAGAATCTATTAGGGCATGAGTTTTATCTCATTTAAAATAAATTCAAGGATAAAAACCACGGAAATGATGATAACAATCACATTAAATAGAGATCCTTCTTTAGATGATGTAGGAAGCATATTCTCGTGCCTATTCACAAGATTTTCTTATCTAAGAGTTGAAAGATAGTTGAGTTGTAGGTCATGTAGGACGCTACAAAACTGTCCATTTGTTGTTCAGTTTGCATTGGAACGAGAAGATGCCAAGTTGCAGTTTTATAGAGCAATCAAAAAAATATATTATATTATACACACCTTACTTGCTTATGTGCTCTTTGGCAATATAAGTATAGATTTTGCTTTAGAATTACTAGGAACTATTAGATAGCATGATTTTATTATGGTATTTGCTAATTCCCTAAGATATCTCATTTTTTAGTTTCAACTTGACTCATTTTTTCAAAAACTGGCCAATGCATCATGATCGCTAAACATTTTGATAAAATCCTTCTTATTGTTGAATTTTCTTTTAATTGCTCTATTAATAAGACTGCAAGCAAAATTCCATCTGAAATTGTGCAAGAATTTAACCACAAAAGGCCAATAGATCTCATTAGTGTATCCATGCATGCTACACTGAAATTCTGTAGCTTCATTTGTTGAGCATTTTCTTAAAATAAATGGCAAGGCGAAGATAAAAATATATGAAGCATTCTGAAGATCATAATACCTTAGCAGATGCTCATACGCACTTTCAGTAGTATACTAAAGGTGATTATGTTTTAAGTTGTATTCTTCCCACACGCATCATGCGAAATAGAAACAAGAAGTTACATGCCCGAGGTTTTAGACCTTATAAAATGATTAGAGAGCAAAAACCTAATGACAGTGTACTTGATTTTTAATCCAACATGCATAGTAATCCTACTTTCAAAGTGGAATATTTACTGTCATATCATGGAATATTCAAGCATGGAGCATTTCCCGTAAGTGTATTATTATTTAGAGTAGTTGATTCAACTATTCTTATGGAAGTCCATCCATCAGTTCCCAGCTAATAAGAGATAAATCAGATTGTGACTGAAGAAATTATAGACATTTTTGTGTTCAATGCTAAATATTAGTTGACGAGATCATCCATAATCAGATGAAACATGAAGACCTTTGCATTTCCCTAGTCTTCTTGAAAAATACGAAGTCAACACCACCAAATGAGACCTCAACAAAGAAGAGCTGAAGAAGGCCATCCAGCAATTCATTGTCAACATCTAAGTCCAACTACATGTCTTGGTAGATTGGAAGTTCACAATTTTAGTTCTGAATATTGACCTTCTTAGTAGTAGATAGAATTTATTTTAAGCTTAAGGGTTGACATTATTTAGTTCATGTTACTCTTATAAATAGCCCATATATCTAATTTTGGATATAATGAATTGACTATATGCCCTCTACTGATCTCATTGGTTGTGCCCTCTATTGATCTCATTGGTTGTGTAATGCTACCTTTCATCCTCAGATTTTCAGAGAGTTGTGTGAGACAGCCATTACTCTTCTTTCCTAGTTAAACTCCCTTTTCTTCAGCTCCACATCTTCACTAACCTCCGGCCACCCATCTTCATACCCTAAAATTAGCTAAATTACTCTTTCATCTCACCCTTCCATAATTAGCACCCAACCAGAGGAGGTGGAGCTTGGCTCAATGGAAAGGACATTCTTGATTTGGGAACCACGAATAAGTGAATAAACAGACTTCAGCAACCATTACTGACAGATAAGCCCTTAGTTTGGGCTAGAATTAACCTAATCCAAAGTGAGTTTCTCTTGTAACTTTGATCTTGTTTTTCCATGATGCAATGCTGAATTTAAAATGTAATGGAAAAACTCTATCAACACCCCAATGAAACTACTAGTAGTATTTCATCAAACGAAACGCATATAGATAAAACCTGCGGCTCTGAATGCATCCCACATGATTTCTTCATGTTCGTGAATGCCAAAGAGACAAAGTGATGCAGCCTGAACTCCGAAAAGTTGCCACAGTAACTTTCCAGTGTTATTTTGCCGCAAGAAATCCTGAAAGTATGATAATAAGTATTAAAAAATATTTGGAAAATCATACAATAAAGCACAAAATAGTAGAGCAAAAGCAATTCAGTGCAGCAAACCTTCGGATGCATGTACACCCAAAATCTTATTTTCATACAAGGAATGCATGGCACAAGCATTGAACACATGCAGTCTTCCATAGCAATCCAACACTGCAAAATTAAATAACAATGCTCCTTATGTACACCATAAGATACTCGGCCATGAAAAAAAATGGTTTCTATTTCTGCAATTAAATGAAAACAACCATATCAAGTTTCACATTCTTTTTTTGGGTAGGAGAATCTAGCAAATGCACATAAAGAAAATATTGCAAATGAAAAAGGAGGTAAACATGTCAAAGTTTGTACACAATACCAATGCCCTGTATAAAAACAAGTTGATGGCTTTGCTGCTAGTTCAGATGTGTAGGCCAAGGGGCATTGAATTGTGATAAAAAGAAATAAAATAACACAAAAGCATACTGCATAATCTCACATAATGCAGAGGTCATTTTGCTCATTGATGATGTCTAGCATGAAGTTTAGATAATACAAGAGAAACTAGAAGAATCTAGCATAGACATTTGTGGGCGTTGAAAATCCCCAACCGACACAACTTATATATTAAAGTGATTTCAGGTTGATCTTTTAAAAGGCATAGTGGATGTTAAGTTTAAGACCCAAAAATTTTCACTAAATTAAGTAAATATATTGCAAAGCTTATTCTAAAGCTTAATGAAAAAGTACTATTAAGTTAGTATTAACAGTAATTACTATTAGTACAAGAATTAAGTAAATATTAGTATTTACTTTAAGTAAATAATTTACTTAACAGTAGATAATATATGAAAGTAATTTTAGTATTTTTCTTATTTCTGAAGAGATGCCTGCGATGGCAGTGAAGAATAACGTGGCAGTTATGCGAGTGCACTGTTTATTTTCAGGAAAGGAGATATATAGAAGAATCGCGAAGCATTGTTCGAGGGAAGCACGTGATAAGCTGAAGGAATTGAGGGTGTGGGACTGTAGCAATTCACGGTACAATGAAAGGAAAGCACGGCACAGTGCAGTGCTGGAAGGGTGAAGGATCGGCATGGTGCTGGAAGTGCTCGCCAGTGCAGTTAGCAGCGGCTAGTGGAGTTCGGGAAGGGAGTGAGAGTGACGGTGTAAGAGAGCAATTGCTGTGAGAAGAAATTGCTATGAGTGAGCAATTGCTTTGAGAGAACAGTAACTGTGTGGGAGTAAGAAACAGTGAAGGAAGAATAAGAAGGAAAGTTTAGGGAAGAAGGAAAAAGAAAGAGGTAAGCAATTTGTTTGTATGATAATGTTTATAGTTGTCTTTTAGATTATTTTTTTTTTTTAAAGAGTTTGTAAAAGTTTCTAAAGCAAATATACCAACTGTATTTTAGGATTCATCAGGTATATGCAGAAGAAAGATTACGATGTAAAAGTTTATATTAGTATAAAGCTATTTTATTCAATTTATTTGAATAATAAATTGTGGAAATTACAGAATCGGAGAGCTGATTTGTAGGTAATTTACAAACGAAGAAGAGTACAAGGTGGAGGATTTAAAGGGCAACTCATCAAAGATTTAAGTAATGCAAGTTTTAATTAAAACGTATATGTTGTTATTTTCGTAGACAAGTACACTAGTATTTAAGGGAAATTTAGAAAAATAGTTATTAAATGAAATGATTTTATTAATGCATGTTCATAATAGCCAAGTATTTATATACCAGCAATCACATGCAAATTTGAATGATTCGATATTAAAAGAAGATGTAATATGATTGTTTAACACATTTCTTAGTTGGTAAGATTTTGGAAAGAATTTCAATTCTTTACGTACTGCATACAAATTCTTTTTATGCAAACAATATAATATAGGTAGAATGTTATGAAAGTATGCAACAATATAAAACAAGTATGAATTACAAATATTTGACGTTTATTGAATATCAAAATTAGAAAATATTACCTATAAAATGATATGATACATGTATTGCAAGTGGGGCAAAAATGACCCCTAAAGAGATAAAAGAGACCTCTATCTCGTTCAATGACATAATGTCAAGTTTACCTGAGCTCCAATGAAAATTATTATGAAAGTTAATTATATGAAAAGGATAGCCAAATTCGTAGAAGACTGATTATAATATTCTGTACAGACTTCAAATGAATTAAAGAATGATCTTAAATATAATTTTTATGTTATTTTGCAAATGCTTTGAGTTGATTCAATTATGTTATTTCTCTATAATCGTGCATTTAATTTTATATTTAAATTGCATAATTTAATAAGCCTCATAGCTCACCACAGTTTTATATTGGTTGTTTTTACAAGGAAGGGCATGGAGAAAGTTAAAACTGATTAGGCAAATATGGAGCATTTAGGTTGTATGTTTAGCAATATTCGTGATGTCTTCTTGTGAGATATGTAAACTGTTTAAATATGATATTGCATTATGATTTTCTTAATAGCTCTGTAAGTATTTGTGTGATGAAATTGAGACTATTTAGATGCTTCTATTTATTAATTAAATGTATTGGTCAGTGGATGTTTTTATACAAGTATGCAAATAATGAGAAATATTATATGTAGAGAATGAATGTTATGTTTAGTTCAATGACACTTTACGTTACTGGTAAGGAGTATCATGGAATATTACAAAAGTGGTATCAGAGCAAAGAAATTAAGATTCTGATGATTTAACTATGGAAGCTAAAGCAAAATTAGTTGTTTAAGAGAAGAGAAATGAATTTGACTAAATTATTACAGAGCCTGGGAGAATGTTGTGTTTCTACATTAGTAATAAGTCTAACTTTCGATGCTGCTTGAAAGAAGCATATAAAAGTAACATAATAATATGTTTGCATGATTATATAAATACATAATTCATGATGTAATGTATTGCAAATATAATGGCTGAAAGGGTACCTGAAGGGACTAGTGGTTAGTCATCTCAACAGGATAGAATAAATGATAGTTCTGAAAATATTACACAAGTAGAAGGTAGTACACCCAGAGTTGACAATATACCAACAGTCCCTGACCCTACTAGTGTATGTCAGGGAATATAATACAAATGCAGATGATGAGCATGATGATGTAAATGATGGAAAGGATGCAGTCTCTAGTGGGATTTGCAACACCTAGTGTTCCATCTGTAGTTACACCAGTCACTCCTACAACTCCTGGTAGTAATGCAAGTGCAGAGGCAGGTGCTCTTGTTAGTGCTGAAGTGGATAAGCATTTAAAACTCTTTTAGAGTTTACAACCACCTTTATTTCAAGGAGTAGATGCCAAAACTACTAAAGATTGGATTGTAAGGATTGAGAAAAAATTTAATGGAATCAGATGTACTTGTATCCCTTGCAATTTTTATTTTGGAAGATGAGGCAGAACGATGGTGGAGGGGACAACATTTGAAAAAATTCAATGATAGGGCAGAGGACCAAAATACTTGGGAGGAATTCGAACAAGTTTTCAATAATTATATTTTGAAAATATGTGTGCATGTGCACATTACTCACAAAACCACTGCCTTGCATGTAAAAATTATTTTCTTTCTTATTCATAACTTGATAAATATGAGAGAACCTGATTAGACTCTTTTAGCATTCCAAATGCATCGAGACAATCAATCTAGAAATACAAGAGGTGGATTCAATTTGTTTTAGTGAATTTCTCATGAAGTCGTATCAGTCCTTATTGATTATCAATGTATTTGATCAGGCGATTTATGGATTGCTTACGAAGATCTACAACACTGTATTTCACAAAAGAAAATAACTAAATTGGTGACAAGCAGATTGTGTAGGAGATACAAATGGCGTTAAATGTTTGCATTGATCCCATTTTGTAAGCCGTTACAGTTGAAAGCTAATGATATTCTGCAAATTAACCATAGCATAGGATATACAAACAGCACTAATGAGCAATGTTATTCCAGCAGAAGTCAACTACAACAAAATTCAAAGAGTGCAGATCTAACGAATAAATTCATGGTACGTAGGTAAAATGGGTGCAACCGACAAAATATTTCAGTATCATGCATGAAAATCTTTCAGGGGAACTGCAGTGTGAAAGTTGTATCCAAGTAAGAAAAGATATGGTGTGTACGTACGTCTGTGTGAGGATAGATGTGTGCGGGAGGGAGAGTGAGGGTGCAGGGGAAGTTTTACCAGCGCAAAATAAGTAGGCTAATATGATCACATAATTTATACCTTCTGGCAAAGATATCCCCTACTTCCAAGCAATCTGCATGCTATTTGTCGAGCAGCAAAAAATTGAAGCTTTTCTTCAGATTCAGTTAGAGATTGGTACACTTCTCTATGTCTAATATCTTCCTGAATCCTAAAGTTTCCCTGCAAATGTCAAAATCAGAATAAGAACTTTGGATGTTAAATAATAGTAGGAAAAAATAAGGGACTTAACCACAATCCATGTTATCAGTTTTAACTGTTCAAACGTAAGAAAATAATTCAGAAGCCAGCCTATATACATCGGCAACTGTTAGCGTCACTCCAATTCACGGAGGGCTAAATAGCAGGTTAATGAATTGGAATTGTCCATTAACTTTCATTTCTACAGCCAATTTCTAACAACTAATTCAATAATCTACTAAAACCAGCATAACACAAGTGGTGCGCAACAATGAAATGTCCATAAGAAAGCAAATTCAGATTTTCATATTACACACCTGCAGTGAATCAAATATATCAGACAAAACACCACCAAACGGGCCCTAATTCGATGTGATAATTCACCAGAAGTATAACTATGGGGCCTAGGATGTTTGGTTCAAGATTCAGTTGGGATTAGGCATGTACAAACCTTGATGTCAAACAGCACCTAAGGGTACAATCGTAACAGGCAAACTACTTTTCTGAACACATGGATAAAACTAGTCCAAATACAACAAGAAGCTTTTTTCCCACTAATTCTCATTTAAATCAACTAAAAAAATATCATTTTCAATACTTTCTAACCGAGTCATTCATCTTCTACCCCTATCTTTCTTAATATAGGTTAGATCCAATACCTTTACTCTACTAATAAGGTCATCAAAAGGCCAACAATAAAACAAGTCTAGATAGCTAAACTAAATTCAATAATCGACCTTTTTCCCTCCTAATCCAACCTCCCAGAGAAATAGGATTGATGGGTCATCAAAAACCACCTTGATTTGGCACGAATCTTGACATATATTAAAAGTTTCAGAATTAAATTTCAGCATTATATGAACTCCAATTTTAAAAAACTTATAGTCAAACTAAACGTCCCGACAAGATGAACCCAACGACACCAAAAGTGGTATAATTCAAGCCTAAATAATCCCAAATGAAGGGCCAAAAATGTTTGAAAACTTCAAAACATTATTTGGATGAATAAATGTTATTCAATTTTGGCATGTTTATAGTCGAATCGAGTGTGCCGAATCCAACAAGCCCAAGATCGCTTAATTATGGCATCTTTAAGACACTTAAATACTAAACAAATGCTACATGATTAAATGAATCAATATGAGCGATCTAATGTAGACTTAAGGATTTTGGTTATATTCTCTTAAAAGCTATAAATAGGGCCCGACTCTCTACAAGAGAGGGGGGGAGGGGGGGGGCTTGGTTTTGGAGTTAGATTTTGATTTGTCTTGATATTCAAATGAGCTTCTAAGGCCACATAGGCGCCCAGAACATTGCTCTTCTTGGCTCATTTTGTCAACCTCTTTCCTCCCCCGAGTCTGTCTCATTGGAGGAAGTCACTGGAAGGCTGACAACCCTGGAGAAAATGATGAATCTCCATGGTGTTGGTAAGCCCATCACCCAATAGGAAGAGGCGGCCCTTGGGAATGTCTCCAATTTGAATAAGGAGGTGGGTCAGCTGATGGATATAGTCGCCTTCATGACGGCTGAAGGGTGAGTCGCTTCGTCATCTAGAGCTTTGTCACTTGGACAGTGCCAACCCATCCAGCCGTGTTCACGAAGAAAAAGAAGGCAGTCCCCACCCTAACCGTGGAGGAGAATAGTATATTGATGACCATCAAGGGTGAGTCGCTTATTGTCCACCACATCGCATATCAAAACGTATTGAAGAATTTCTATGGTAAGTCACTGTAACTTTTTTAAAAAAAATGTTAAGCGTTTTGCTCCCCTTGGCTTAATGGTTTGTCTCCTTGTGTAGAGAACGTTAACGGATGTGAATTCCCCTATGACTTTGTGACATTAAAGGCTATCGTTGAATCCACAGTGAAACCTGTGAAGAAGAAGCGAGCAACATCTATTGAAGGACATGTCGAGGTTGCAGCAAGGAGGAGCAATCTCCCAAGAAGATGAAGAAAGATGTTAGGGGAGCTATCTCAAGGATGATGGTCACTAAGTGATCATAGATGCCCCAAGAGAAGCAAGCTAACCCCACGAAGGTGTCACAATTGATGAAGCTATGGCTCATACGAGAGCTATGAAGCGGGGTTGTGCCACCACCGTGACCGGCAAGGGCAAGAAGATTGCCAAGCGCTCTAAATCCTCTAAGGAATCAACTACTGACTCATCGCGCAAGGACGAGATGAGCTCATTGGAGGACAAGGAGGGAGGAGAAGACGAGGGGAAAAAAGTTGCAATCTTCTACAACAAAGGCTAAGTTTTTTTTTTTTTAATTTAATGAGGGCCTTGACTCACACCTAAGGAAGGTCACTCCGGAGGAGATTAGTTTCTCCATGATGAACTCATCGGGCCAAACATGGCTAACAATTTTGTTCCTTGTTTTCTGCTAGATTCATCAAGAAGGAAGGTTTGAATCTTTGAACTGGATTTACAAGGAAGCAAGTGCTACTTAGAGGATGAGCGAGCAGAGAAGCAAGAAGTCACGAAGAATATGAGCAAGTTGGAGGATGAGCTCGCCAAGGCTAAGGATCAACATAGATTCAAATTAGAGACGGTGAATGCTCATGCGTTCTCAACCATGGAGGCGAAGAAATGGGTAAAGGCGAAGGTTGTCAAGTAAGTTGTCGAGGTGAAAGAGGTCGAGCATTTTATGACTGGCGGGAAATATGAAGAGATCCTAGGTGGGCTCCATCGCGCCGGGATCGAATATGTCTGAGGAAACTTGCAGCCAGAGGTGAGGTCGCTCCAAAGTTCAAAAAATCATAAACGATTCTTTGAAAAATTTAGCAACAGCGAGAAAAGTGATGGTGTGAGTGCGACTCATAAGTGAGTCATTCTCAACCATTGAATGAAATTTTGGACTTTTTCTATATTTTTATTTTTCATTTTTGGGCAGAGTGGCATGATGTAAATGTAATTGTAACCATGAATGAAATAAAAAAAATTTTACTCACTGGTTTTTTTATTTTATTTTTTCTATGTATTGGACTCATTCTCTTGTATACTTGCATAAAATTATGAGCACTTGCTCCTCAATAGGTTAGAATGAAGGTGCTCGCCTATAGTAAGCTTTCATTGTGAATTAAAAAGCAAGTTAGTATTATAGGGGAACTAAGAGTAAGCAGGGGAACTGAGAGTAAGCAGGGGAACTAAAAGTAAAAATAATATGGGCACTCGCTCATGGCGAGTGACCGAAGTTAAAATATAACTCTAAAGAGAAGTCACTCGACAACTAAGAATAATCACTATGTTTTTTACTCGATGAAGCAAATAGTATGAAGCTATTCAATAAGTATCTTAGTTTTAAATTACTGCTCTCTACCGATATCCGCATCTGCCTCAGCTCCCGCTCTCGCCTCAACTCTCTTCCTGCTTATGCATCAAGGAAAAAATAATTAATTTAGTCAATTAGTCCCACACCATGAAAAGCAATATGATATTGCACTATATAACGAAACATAGTGGGAGTTTGTCTAGAACCGGGCAAATGGGACGGGATGGGTCGGGCCAGTAGACGGGCACACTTATATAGGCGGACGGGTCTCAAGTTGCTTGATTCATTAAAAAAAAAAAGAAAAATAGTTTTATTAAACAAGCAGCCTGTTATTAAGCTCAGCTCGTTTAATGAGCCGCTCGTTAATAGGCTCGATAAGCTTAAAATGAATCGAGCACAAACCTAAAAACGAGCTGAGCTTGAACAGGGAGATTTTTAAATGAGCTCGAGCTTAAACATGTATCAAAGAAGCTTGAATCTTATTGAGTTGAGCTCAATCACGGTCTTGACAAATGAGCTTGATCTCGAGCATGTCGAAGCTCGGCTCAGCTCGGTTCGTTTTTTAGCCCTATCTAAGACTTATTAAATTTCTTTCTTAGAATTTTACTAGGAGCTAGCCCAAGTAGGAGGGAAGTCACCTGCACACTCAGCCCGGGTGTCTTGAGTTTCTAAAGCATTGGACAACTGCCCAGCATGGCCAAGTCCTTATATATATGTCTTGAGAGAGTAAGAGTCCCTAAGAGTTTTTTTTAAAGATTCTCTATAAATATACTTATTTTATTCATGAAGGACTCGCTTATGCTTAAGAAAAAAAAAAGAAAAAAAAAAAAGAGGGAGAATATTTTATTAATTTTCTTGAAAGAATACAAGTAGTAATAAAAGTGTGGGGGTTTCCCTTTCATGGATAGAATATCTCGAGGTCATCAGTGCTCTATGTTCACGGTAGTTCCCTTCCATTGTGTATTTGCACTTGATACATGCCTGAGCTGAGTTCTACATTAATGATATAGGGGCCTTCTCATGTGCTTGTTAGCTTGTCGAGTGCCAAGTGATGAATGGCTATGTCTGCCGTCTTCGTAACAAGGTCCACGGATCGGAAAGCTTTTAGTTTAATATGCGAGTTGTAGTACTTCGCCATCCTTCTCTTCATTACTTCCTGCCTAAGTTCACCCTCTACTCTGAGTTCCTTCAAATGGTCAATTGTCGTCTGCAACTCTTCTTAGTTGGTCACCACCCATTCATTGAACTTAACACCTTCCTTGTTGATAGCAGTGACTAAACGTTGGCTTTGTAGTTTGAGCTCGACTGAAAGAAGTGACTCGGTGCCATGGGAGAGTTAGAAGGACACATGCCCAATTGTCGAAAAAGGAGTTGTCCTTATGGCCCAAGTACTGAGGGGTATGTTCACCCATGCCTTTGGCACCTTCCACCTTTTGAGAAAGTTTAAAATTTGCTTGTTGCGGCCTCCTGACCATTAATCTGAGGTGATGGGCTGAGGTGGACTTGAAACAGATCCCCTATGAGTTGCAGAACTCCTTTAGACTTTAGTCAGTGAACTGTGGTCGTAATTGATGAAGATGGTGAAGGAGACACCATGCCGAAGGATGATGTCCAACAAAATAAAGTTCTTCATAATAATAGAGGTTGTTTGGGAGAGTGCTTTGGCCTCTATCCACTTTATGAAGTAGTCAACCTGGATGAATCTTTTTTA